TTCATGCAAATTACAATAAAGTTCTTAAGTTCAAAATAGTTAACATAAATTCTTTCATACAAATTAAAATAAACATCAAAATTTCAAATTTAAACATCTTATTCTTGTTCATCTTGTTCTTCTCCTTACCCTTCTTCTTCAACAATTTCTCCATATCCACTAGTTTCTCCACATCCACCATTGAAATTTTGTGAAGCAAAAAAGTTGATCAAATCTTTGAACCTGTTAATTTGCAATCCACATTGCTTCTTGATACTCCTGTGTTTGCCTCCTTATTTCTTCCCACAACTCTATTTCTCTTCTCTGCATTTCTTGTTGCATCTCTAATTGTTTTTTCTTCATCTCTTCAATTTCTGCATTTCTTGCTGCTACGTGGAGTGTTGCCTCAGTATTCGCCAAGTTTATCATAAGTTCAAGCATTTCGGCGATTAATATAAGTGGAGTTGATGTTCCTTCTCCATCAGCAAGTCTCATTCTAGAACTCCTATCACGCCGCTTGATAGTTTTGGCGTACCCGCTAGCACCATAGATACACTCTCCCATTTTTCTTCTTTCCATCTGAAACATCATACCTTGTCTGAAAACCCACAACAAGATCAATAGGATATCTCGGTGGTGGTTCAAGTTCAGAATGCTCTGACAACTGTAGAACAAGTTGTCTATCAAACTCGTCCTACAAAAAAAAATTAAATGTTATAATAATTTAAATAAGCTAGGTCCATATAAAAGAAATAAATAAAATATTTTTAATATAAGAAAAACTTACTTGAGTGTTTCTTGCACGCTCGTCAGCAAACTCTTCATTTGAGTCTCTAGATGGAACTCATTAAAAAGTGGAGTTCTACCCAACTCTTCACGCTAATCAAATAAGTAAAAAAAATAATTAGTTACATGTAATCTAAAATCTAAATGATAAATTAAAAAACAAATAAATTTACGTACCATCTTTCGTGCAACTTTAACAACACTAATACTACTCGCTGCGTAGTTACATCCACCAACTTCAGATGATCTATTTTTCTTTGCCTTTTCAGATATTTCCTTAAAATTTTCATAATTCCAATGGCCAATAAGATATTGAAATATTTCTACTCCCATCAACGTGGATGTTGCTTTTTTTCCCATTTAATTCTAACATTCCTCATGGTGTCGGAAAATCAGGCACTACATTTTGAGTGAAAATTTTCTTCAATTTAGACGTCATCTCTAACATCCCACCAACACTTCTCCTACATTGTTGTATGAATTCAAAATTAAGCTATAAACAATCATGAATATCTCAAAAAATATAAAGGAAATATATCTCAAAATATATAAAGGAAAAATATAAAGTAAAATATACCTTAAATGCATTAAACCAATCTTTTTTGTCATCTTCGAGTACAACTCCATAACTACCAAAATCTTAAGTTAGAATTGATTAAATAAAACTCAAATTTAAAATAATATAAAACATATATAAACACTTACGATCTAGAGTCGGGCCAAATAACAAGTCTGCCACAATAATATCTAACTTTTTGCAGCTCATTTATCCTCAAGATGTGCTCCCTCCTTGTTTTCTCCTCAGTAGCACTTGTATCTTCTTGAGCACTGGTTTCTCCAGGAGAACTACTGGTATCTCCAGAAGCACTGGAATCTCTGGGAGCACTGGTATCTCCAGGATCATTATCAGAAGGCATGGGTCGGGGTATGCGAGATCCACCTAGCTCCATATGAATGGGTCCACTCGTCTGCATGAAAGGCATAGGAAAATATGTACTGAGTCAAGTAGAAAAATATGGTGTATATTCAGTAGGACTAATAAAAGCTACCGAGGATATAGGTGGGAATGATATGCATCCATGAGGTGTAGATAGTAATCCAATGAAAGATCCAGACATATGTGGAGTAGTGTGCATATGAGGTGGAGTAAAATGCATAAGAGGTGGAGTATGATGCATAGGAGGTGGAGTAGGATGCATAGGAGGTGAGGTAGAATGTGGAGGATGATTTGCCACTTGACTCGATTGTGGCATAAAGATAAACAAATCTGATGCAATGTCATTTGGCTTGCGCTGAACTAATTCTATTTGTATGATGCCATGTCATTTGGCTTGCGCTGTGCATTAATGCAAATATTCTTTGCAACCTAGGTATTATTGGAAGATAGAACATGGATTTCACTGTAACTCGTTTTTGCTTTCGATCAGCTCCTTTACCGCGAACTAAATACCTCCGACTATTACAAAACTTACATTTCTCCAATTCCTCGTCATTTATACCAAACTCGTTGTCACAAAAAAACATACAACCTCCAATGCAATAATCAATCTTTTTTACTTATAGTACTAACTTCGACACCATCCTCTTTGCATCATAATAACGTGTAGGCATATTTTCTTTCACAGGAGTCGCGTCCAACATCATTCTCGCAAATAATTCTAAACACTGATTAGAAACATTCCAATTTGACTTCGCAGCCAAAAGCCCCACACGTATTGATAACCTAGAGTTAGAGGACCCCTCAAACAATGGTATATTTATTTCTTTTAACAACTGATAAAACTTTTACGATTTCTCATTTGAGAGCTCTTCTGCGTCAAAGTCTTGAGGTTCATCATAAGCCACATTCACCCCTAATGCGCCACTGACCATATCCTCGACTAGATTAAATTGTTCCTGGCATTGCATATGTGATGGACTCTCTGGATCATCTCTATTTATATCTAGTCCAATACGTGTTTGACTGCTAGAAGCTTCTCTATTCATCTCTGATATTTTTTCCCCAGTAGATGTCCAAACTCAATATTTTAGCCTAAAACCCATTATCTCCAAGTGATATTTCACTTCACTATGGTCACTAATAATATTTCTGCAACCACACTTAAACACAAACACCTTACCCCTGCTTCACTTCGACAACATTATTGACCAAGCGCATACGAGAGAAATCCGACAACTCCTTCCTTAAAAGGCGGTTTAAGTCCACGTCTTCCAGGAAACATTCTATCATGCATCCAACTACGATAGAATTGATAATATCCCATACTGCACATGTACAACATTGATCATGTTTAATTTTATAAAACTGTTTTTTAAATAAATATTTTTAAAAAATTCGTATTAAGAAACATACTAATTTTAAACTATATATTTTAATTACCATATTATTTTCTAACTATTTTTAAACTGTTAATAAACAATATTTCACAAAAATATTTCACAACAATTATATTACACCAATCCATTTCAATAAATAAACAGAACATAATTTTTTTTAGATGTATCTTAAAGATGAACACTTCAAGTTTGAATTCCTTAGTAACTTTAGATGATAACGATAAAATCTAAAATTAAAAATTAAAAATTAGAATCATTAATAAATATGTTATATTAACAAAATAATATAAATTAGACATAAAAACAAATATAAAAAAATTACCTTAAAAAGATGAAGTTTTAGATGAAGATTTGAAGATGGAGGGTTTGTATGGTTTTCTTGAGAGAGAGAGAGAGAGAGAGAGAGAGGAAGAATATTTGTGTTTGAGAGGAAGAGAGTACATAGAGGTAAGAGCGGTATAAAATGGAGGAAATAGATAAAGAAATTGGCGAGGGGTACCCAAGACAAATCTAGCGGTTATTAATTGCCAGGGGCTGCCCCTCGCAAACTGCAAGCTTCCTTTTCCAACGCAGTTTGCACGCATGTATAGGAAGCGGTGATTTGACTATACAACAAAATAAATTACGAGGGGGTGCACCACGCAATAATAACATTCTTATTTGGCTAAAGTTTGTCCCTCGCAAATCATAAAAGAATCTCTTAACAACCTAGACAATAATGGCATTTTGCAATGCATTACCCCACGCAATTGCTACCGTCTTGTGATGTTATACCTTCCGCTAAGTGTAAAGCGAGTAGTATTTTTAAAATTTAAAAGTCCCTCCTTAAATATTACGAGGGGTATACGTTTGAATTTAGTGAGGGGTATAACACCTCACAATTACCCCTAGTTAATATCACTTTTTCTTGTAATACTTCTAAGCACACGAGAACTACTCTGCTGATGAATATAGAGGATCCAGACTCACGGTATATCTAACAACTCTCTGCAATTCATACCTAACAAATAACAAAATTGTTATTTCATTTCCACTCCATTACCGAAAACTCAAGTTAGATCAACCTCTCTACGCATATATATATATATATATATATATATATATATATATATATATATATATATATATATATATATATATATATATATATATATAACATCAATTCAGATTAGACTCCTCCTACCGAAAACTCATTTCTCCCATTACTTTTGAAACTCACTCCATTTTTTATTCCAATAAAAAACATGTCCAAATACCTTCGATTAGACCTTTGATTCCACCTCCATTTTTGCAACATGAATCTTTATTTGGTTTCCAACTATCACGAGTTAATCTTGGGTTGAAAGGCGCCAATGAGTTGCTAAACAACATGTATAACATCGTTGTCAACAGAATTGCAGGCACGTCTGTCACCTATGAGCTGACTGCAAAACCATTGTCCAAGAGTTCATGTCACCGCCATCACCAACAGTTGAAGAAAAATCATATGAACTTTAAAACAAGACGATGTATCTAGAGTCTAGTTGATTATTTTTATAATAAAAGAGTAGTAAACATAATGGTAAAAAATATAGTATAAAAAATTAAACCAACTTCTTAAACAACTACACCTAATTGTTATTTTATCTTTTGTTCTATTAATATTATATAATTTATATACAAAGACGCGGAAACACATAAATAACAACAAAGCTAATCTTGTCAAACATTGACAAAGTATTTATTCATATATTAAATTCATTCATGACAAAAAATTAACTTCAAAGTCCTTGGATAAAAAGTCGAATATTTTATCATAATAAAAGAGTAGTAAACATCATGGTCACAAGATAGCAACATATGTTTTCGATCAAACAAAGGCTCTTTCTTTCTTCTTTTGCAGATATCTCGTGGTTAGAATGGACAAGTATGAATCCAATAGAAGCCTGAGTTTATTATTTCATTATCTCATCACTCTCTTGCTTATTTCAAAACCAAAGGTTATAGTTGCAAACATAATTCCAAATTCAAACAACCACTATTATTCTACATGTCCTGTCACATATTCTCCTTCAACTTCCACACATGCACCTCAGATAAAATACGATGTCTTTGTAAGCTTCAAAGGTAGCGATATTCGCAAACATTTCCTTAGCCATGTCCTCGAGGCTTTGTCGCGAAAGAAAATCGTCGTCTTTTCCGACAAGAAGCTTAAAACAGGAGATGAACTATCAGCAATACAAAGAGCAATTGAAAACTCATTCATTTCATTGGTCATATTCTCCCAAAACTTTGCATCTTCATATTGGTGTTTAGAGGAAGTTCTGAAAATAGTTGAGTGCAGAGAAAAATATGGTAGGATTCTAATGCCAGTTTTCTACCAAGTTGAGCCCTCAGTTGTAAGGCATCAAAATGGGAGTTATAGAGATGCTTTTGCTCAACATATAAAAAGGTATGATCCACACAAGGTGCTAAGCTGGAGATCTTCTTTGAAGCAGGCTGCCAATATTTCTGGATTTGATTCTTCATATTTTTCGTAAGTTTCCTTTAACAAATATATTTTAATATATATATATATATATATATATATATATATATATATATATATATATATATATATATATATATATATATATATATATATATATATATATATATATATATATATATATATATATATATATATATATATATATATATATATATATATATATATATATATATATATATATATATATATATATATATATATATATATATATATATATATATATATATATATATATATATATATTACCATTAATATAGAGTGATATACTCAAAACTTTGACAGAAACAAATGCTCTAAAAATTTCTTGATGGTATTGGTAAGTCAAGTAGTAATACTTTATTGGTACATTATTGCATGGTATATTTTTTTAACAAAATGATGACACTCTAACGTGGTATTAAAATTGATAGTTTTCTGACTTTATATAAGATGTGTCCTAATCTAATTTTTTATTATTTTTTTGTAAAATATATACACCAAAGTAGAAGAAATTATAAAATAATATTTAGAGGTTTGACCCATTAAATTGCACCTAGCCCAGCTGTCCTTTTTAAAATATAATATGATAAGCTAAAGGAGATAGGTTGCAAGTCAATCTATAAGTCTTTTGTTTTTATTCAAGTTTGTGTCTATGCATGTTAACATAAGATGTTACTAGTAATATTCAAAAGTTATATAGTTTATTCATTACTTAAAACGTATACCTGTTGACAGACTCGAAAACTTATACATATTAATCTATTAAGAGATTGACAGAGCAACGAGAGCTGGATAAAAAAACATAATGGACTATTCTTCCACGATATATTGAGCTAATATTTAATGTTTTATTAATAATGAATTCGATATTTTTTACTTAGAGATAATAAAAAACATATGATCGATCCTCTCTTAGTTCATCTCAAATCCACCTCAAACCCACGTTATTGAGGCTACCAAATATTGTCCATTTTACGTGAAAGAATTTGTCACAATTTTTTTCTTTAGAAAAGTGGTTTGTTAGTTGAGAAGTATGTGTATTATATATAAATTATTATTAATTTTGAGAAGTATGTGTATTATATATAAATTATTATTAATTTCGATTTTCAATGTGAGACTATTTTAACGCACCAAAATAATTGTCCTCAAACAAGATAAAAGGGCAGGGTGCAAGCATGTAAACTTGACCTCTCATTGTAGCGACAATGTTCTGGTCCACGACACGACATTGCGACGATGAGGTATTGTCTGCATGGAGTGTGAGAATCTATCACGGTTTTGTACTTTGAAAAATGCGCATAATTTGATTGAGGAATATGAGTGTTGTTGTTTATTGTGAAATTTGATAAACAATCGATAGTCTTCTAAAATCTAATGATTCTAGTTACTTACATGATCAACTAGATTGATCCTAGGACAATAATGTATAATTTGTGTTGTTTTTTTATAGGATTTTTATGGATATTGATCTCTTCGAATGTAAAAGTAAATTCAAAGATAAATGACAAGGCGGAGAATGTAAATGACAAAGAAGTAAAAGATTTCGACTAAAAAATAAAGAAATTGTAAATGACTTTTAAACATAAACTTGCATTGGATGATAAAAGTGGTGTTTCATACGTACATTCTCAGAAACTCGTTTCTCAATAACAACTGGTACTTTGAGTGGATATGAGTAATCTGTACAATATTGAACACACAAATTCTTAAAACTAAAGACTTCTGTTTATACTAATTCGAAACGAACAGTCTTCTCATCAGAAGAAGACACATTCTCACTTGCATGCGTTCGACTCTTTGCAGACCTCCACGCGTCTCTTTTCAAAAGAACAGATAAGTGCAAAATTTCAAATATCTTTGTCGAACCCGTTTTGAATTTTTTTCAAAATGCTAAGTTTCGACACTATATCATTTTACCAAACTTCGGTCGAAATACCAACATTTGCTTTCGTCAAATATCTCTTCGCTTTTCTTGATTTCTCTTGAAAAACTCTTTGCCAGTTATTCAAACTTGAGCGCCGAATTTACAGCTAACAGTTGTATATAAATCATCTTTAACCTTGATTCCCAAGAAATGTGACACTATTTTGGTGTTCCAGAATAGATCCTATGGAGCTCGAAGAAAAAAAATGTAAATAAAATTGTTTTGAAAAATATTTTTGTCATTAGAGATATTATTGGATTGATTTGTGTACTATAATATCGTTCTCTTTATGATTATATTGGCGGGAAGTACAATAGTGTAAGAGGAAGTGTGCACTCGTACGGATTGTGAGACTATGTGTGTTTCTATGTAGAATTAGTGAATGATCCCTCCCTAATTCTAAGAGTGAGGTATTTATAGAGGACTCCTTAGGGAGGCAAGAGAAACAGTTTTCTTAGTTTCCTGATAAAAAAATATGGGAATTGAGGAAGACTGGTTTTTATTCAAATTATACGAGAGACCGTTTTTTTCTCTTTGACTCACATCTATAAACAGTTACTCCTTGGACACCCACTATAAAAAACGCGTCCAGATTGCGGGGATTTTTTATCTAGTTTGCGGAGGTTTTTAGCCCACTACAAAAAATGTGCCCATCTCTTTTCACACTCAACAAACTCACTTACAATATCATCATGATTGTCTGTGTTGATGATATTATTATTACAGGAAATACTCCTAGCCACATTCAAAAAATTAGTGTGTCAACTTCGTGCTCAATTTACCTTTGAGCAACTAGGTAATCTTGACTACTTCCTAGGTATTGAAGTATCTCATCTGCCTAATAAAGTTATTTTTTCGCTCAAACCAAATACATTAGAGACCTCTTGGCCAAAAGTAACATGAGTGGGGCCAATAGTCTGCCTACGCACATGGTCTCTAATATGAAATTAACAATGCTTGGTATGATTATTTGCAGGACTCGACCTATTACAGGTCTATGGTAGGGGCATTACAATATGTCACTATCACTAGTCTAGAAATCACCTACTTAATAAACAAAGCTTGCTAATTTTTGTCCTAACCTCTGCATAAATAACAAAGCTTGTCAATTTTTTTCTCAACCTCTATAGAAATCACCTCTCTCTCACACACACACACACACTCACACACAAAAAAAAAAATGCTCTCTTTCTATTTCGATGTTTTCATAAGAAGTATAATTCTTGAAACAATCGCTTTTACCTTTATTGGCCTCATTATCTTCATAGTTTGTCATAAGATATATGTTTGCCTTGTCCTCTTGCTCTGATTCATCAGATGAATATGAGTCGTTGTTTTCTTTTGTAAGATCTTTTTCTATTTTCTTTTATCTCATCTTGAACTTGTTCATTTTGTACCAATTCTTTTTCTTTGAGTTTACGAATAACTTTTAACTGATATAGTGTCTCCTGTAAATGATCGAAAACATCAATATCTCAAGATTTCAAAGATGGGCTAGGTACCCAACACTACTTTGTAAATCTAAGGTACTTGTTAGATGCACAATTTATGAAAATGTTGCTAAGAGTCTTAATATTAGAAAATTATATTTGAAGATTTTCTACCGTGTTCATCGTTTCCCTTTAGATCTCAGAAGAATCTTCATATACCATTTCAAAGGTGTCCCAAATTTCCTTAACATTGCTACATTCAAAAACATATATGTACTCTCTAATGTTTAATGCACTAATAGTCAAGTATTTGACTTTTAGACCGTGTTGCACTTTTCTTCTTTTCCTCTATGATCCATACATCTCTATATATATTCACCACTTCATTATTCATGAATCGAGTAAGAATAAAAGGATCGTATACGATAGAATCCCAAACATTAACATCAATAACTTCTAAAAAAAAGTTCGCTCTTACTTTCCAGATGATATACCTTTCACCATCGAACGGTGGAGGTTTGTTCAAAGGAATAATTTATTGTGACAAGTGTTTGAAGTCATCATTCTACCTCCTGAGACTATTAGTCTTATAACAAGAGTTAACCTCAAATGCCACTTGTTGACCAAGTGACTTCAAATACAAGAAGGAGTGAATTATGTTATTTAGTACCTTAAAGTCAATTACAAATATACGAAAGAACTATGCTCTTTAATTATAATTTTAGCACAACAACAAAATTACACAATTCTCAATACAAGTCTTTTACTCTCTCCGCACTAAAGCGAGTATAGTGAATAAAAATTGTTTCCAAAAAAAGAGTGAGAAAAGAGAGTAGTAAATCAGAAATTTGTGCTTTAGAAGTGAGCATAAGAGTCCTTTGCATAGGAAACAATTTAGCTCAAAAAAGAAAATAATCCCTAAGCTTTGGTCGTTATCTAATCAATTAGGTTGCGACTCTAATTGATTAGACATAGCAAAAAAGGAAATACTTAAATCTAGTTCTTTTCTCAATCAAATAATAGATTTTTAATTGATTAGGAAGAGAGCTCGTTCCTTAATCAATTGGATACAAGCTCTAATTGATAGACATCGAATTTTGCTTTTTTAATTGGTCATAATCACTCATTAATCGATTAGGCAAGTGTTAATACTAGTTTTAAGAAGATTTTGAAATAATAAAAATTTTGAGAGAAAAAAAAAATTAGTGTATGTGCATTGCCTTAGTGTATGTAAAGTGACTATTTCGAAAATAAAATTGATTTGAAAAATATTTGTCTCTGAAAATATTACTAGGTTGAGTCACATAGTACGGCTTTTTCTTTATGTTTTATAGCAGTGTCGAAAATTGTGCAAATAGATTACCAACCACATCGTTCTCGAGATAAATAAAAGCTCAATCAAAACTATTGTGCATTGTAAGACATGTTCTAAAATTACACCTTTAAATATGACGCAAGCCACTCAACAACTATGGTATTGAGACTCCTCGAAAATCACAGAAACAAAAAAAAAAAAAGAGAAGTGTCTTGAAAATGTGTCGAGCAGAAGAAGAAAAAGAAAAGCTGAGAAATATGTTCAATTTAGTGTGCTTTTCTCAAAAGCCTGCAAAAAGTTATCCAGTGTGTGAAAACTATGTAATGTGAAACTTTAATCTTATAGAGTTGAGAGCTAATTAATGTGTGAAAAAGACGCATGAATGTTGCATTTTACATTAAAAGTAAGGCATTGTTAAAATAGATATAGTTTGATGAAGTTTATACATTTTCTCCTATCTTTGTTATACAGGGATGATGCTAAGCTAGTTGAAGAAATACTTCAAAGTGTGTTGATGAAGTTGAACCAAGTAGACCAAGGTAAGTCAAAAGGACTTGTAGGAATTGAAAAGCAAATTTCGCCTATAGAATCATTGTTACATTTAGATTCGGAAGATGTTCGTGTTCTTGGAATTTGGGGTATGCCTGGTATTGGAAAAACAACTATTGCTGAAGAAGTATTTCGTAGGCTACGGTCTGAATACGAAAGTTGTTGTTTTATGGCTAATGTAAGAGAAGAATCAGAAAGATATGGTACAAACAGTTTGAAGTTAAGAAAAAAGCTTTTATCCACTTTACTAGAGGAAGAAGATTTGAAAGATGACATGATAAATGGATTACCTTCTTTGGTTAAGAAAAGGCTTGGCCGCATGAAGGTTCTTATTGTTCTTGATGATGTCAGAGATGCAGAGCAACTAGAAGTTTTGGTTGGAACAGCTGATTGGTTAGGTGCAGGAAGTAGAATCATCATAACTACTAGAGATAAGCAAGTACTTGCTGGAAAAGTTGATGATGTCTATGAGGTTGAGCCGTTGGACTCCGTTGAATCTTTTCAGCTTTTCAATTTGCATGCTTTTAATAAACAAAAGCATCTTGAAATAGAGTACTATAAGCTATCAATGAAGATGGTGGATTATACCAAAGGTGTTCCATTAGTTCTCAAAGCTTTAGCTAACCTTCTTTGTGAGAAAGATAAAGCCATATGGGAAAGCCAAGCAAGGAATCTGAAAATAGAGCAGATTGAAAATGTCCATGATGTTTTTAGATTGATATACACTAATCTTGATTATTATGAAAAGATTATATTCCTGGATATTGCCTGCTTTTTTGATGGAATGAAGTTGAAACTTGACCTCATACAACTTCTATTGAAAGATCGTCGTTATTCGGTGAGCACTAAACTAGACAGACTTAAAGATAAAGCTCTTGTAACAATTTCTCAACAAAGTATTGTGTCAATGCATGACATTATACAAGAAACAGCTTGGGAGATTGTTCGACAGGAATCTGTTGAAGAACCAGGAAGCCGAAGCCGGCTGTTGGATCCTGATGACATTTATCATGTATTGAAAGATAACAAGGTAAACATTTTTCATACAAGAGGGTTAATCTCGAGTAATTCAAGTATACTGATGTTTGGAAATTTTCTACTACTTTTTTTAGCAGGGAAGTGAGGCCCTCAGAAGTATGGCCATCAGACTATCTGAAATTAAGGAGCTGCAGTTAAGCCCTCGAGTATTTGCCAAGATGAGCAAATTGAAATTTTTGGATATTTACACTAAGGGCTCTCAAAATGAAGGGAGTTTGTCGCTTCCGGGAGGGCTTGAATCCTTACCTAATGAACTGAGATATCTTCGTTGGGAGTACTACCCTTTGGAATCCTTGCCATCCAAGTTTTCTGCAGAAAACCTTGTTACATTGAACTTGCCTTATAGCCAATTGAAGAAACTTTGGCATGGAGTGAAGGTAAGTACTATATATGTTTTTAGCTAACTCTATTGGTCAAAGAACCTATGTAAAAACATATTTAAACATTCTATGTTCCAGCATTAGCATTCAGATTCAGTTAGCTCACTGGTTTTTTCTTGGTTGGTTCTAAATGGAACAGGATCTTGGGAATTTGAATGTCCTTATACTCCACTCATCCACACTCCTAACAGAGCTACCAGATTTTTCAAAGGCCACAAGTCTTGCAGTACTGGACCTCCATTTCTGCATAGGGTTGACTAGTGTTCATCCATCTGTTTTCTCTCTAAAAAAGCTTAAGAAACTGGATGTGAGTGGATGTATTTCCCTTACAAGTCTTCAAAGCAATAATACCCATGTAAGTTCACTTAGTTATCTTTCCCTCTACAACTGCACAGCACTGAAGGAATTTTCAGTGACCTCAGAGAATATGAAAGAATTGAATTTAGAGCTCACGGATATCAAAGAACTACCCTCGTCAATTGGACTTCAAACCAAACTTGAAAAGTTACATCTTGGGCACACTCGTATCGAGATCTTGCCTAAGAGCATCAACAATCTTACAAGACTGAGACATCTAGACTTGCATGAATGCAGGGAGCTTCAAACTCTACCAGAGCTTCCTCCGTCACTTGAAACACTAGACGCCGATGGGTGTGTATCACTAGAGAATGTAGTGTTCCACTCAACTGCTAGTGAGCAACTTAAGGAAAAGAAGAAAAAGGTTACCTTCTGGAATTGCCTTAAATTAAACGAGCCTTCTCTCAAGGCTATTGAGTTGAATGCTCAAATCAACATGATGAACTTTTCACACCATTGTATATCCACACGTGATCTTGATCGTGATCACGATCACGATCGCAATCAAGGCATTTACGTGTACCCAGGTAGCACAATTCCAGAGTGGTTGGAATATAGTACAAGTACAAGTACACACGATTACCTAACTATTGATCTTTCCTCTGCTCCTTATTTCTCTAACTTGGGCATCATTTTTGGATTCATCATTCCAGCGACATCATCAGAGGGTTCGATTCTGAAATTCAAAATCAGCGATGGCGAAGATGAAGGTATCAAAGTGTACTTGGACAGACCACGTGATGGAATTGAATCGGATCATGTGTATCTAATGTATGACCCAAGATGTTCTCATTACCTAGCTAGCCGAGTGAATGATCAGTCAAAGATTAAAATTCAGGTTAGAGCAGCATCAAGAACACCGACAACACAGTACGTGCCAGTTAGGTTAAAAGGCTTTGGGGTTAGCCTAGTAACCCCTTCACAATATGACAAGTTTAAACAGCAACTAGAATTTGGTGATAGTACTGTTGTTCCAAATAGTATGTGTTCCATGGAAGAGGGATCAAAGTTTCTTGGAATTGAAAATGCTAAACAGTTAAGTTATTTCAATTGCATGATTTAGTTGTGTTAAGGTGAATTGGAATATGATATCAGACTTTGATTGAACAATAGCCCTTGTGGCAGCTTGTATTGATATGAAGTAAGTTTATGATTCAATCTTTATTTTGTTTCAAATCTTACAAAATATCTAGAGAGGCATCATTCAGTATATAATGAAATAATGCAGCATTGATTAGTGTAAAGCACCAACCTGCAACCTCCATGAATCTCGATCGGATTCCCTCGCCTCCATGCCATGAATGACAGCTGCAAACTCCTCCCTCAAGAATATGTCATTTGATGAATGAAAATATGAGTTGAGGTACATACGGATAGTTATTACCAAAACAACACTAAATCAATTCAAACTCATTTCAATACAATGTTAACCAATCAAACCCAATTCAAGAAATCTCTCTCATTCATTACATCAAACACCTCATCTACATTACTAAGAAACAAAACATTGAATTCAGCCTTAATTTCTCTTCACAGGATCAATAACATTGCACACCAAAAGGATATTTTTGTTAGAACTGAAGGGCTTCATGGACATTTCACTTTTGAAAAAAAAATGTTTCAAATGCCTTAAAGCACCTCTCACTACACGTACTTCAATGTTCGACTTAGACAAAGTAACTTAATATTTATTTATATTTATGTATTAACATAGTAGATATTTTTAAATCAAACAACTTTAGAAAAAAACAATGTATAGTAAAAAAAAGTTAAATTTATTTGTTTTTTTTTTCTTTTTAAAAAAATATTTGTTTGTTGTTATATAAATTTTTAATCTTTAAAAAGAGTTCTATTACTTTTTTAAAAATTTAATTTAATTTTATAATTTCAATCTATTTCCTCTTAGTTGTACACTTAATTTATTTTCATAGTTATAAGAATATTGTGACATGTATTTATTATTGATTTTATTTTATACTAATATTAATTAATTATATTTTGATTAATATTTTAAATTATGATAAAATTTAACATAAATAAAATACTGATATATGAGGTAAAGTTGTGAGTCCTAATATAAGTTTTTTTAGAATTGTACTATTGAAGTTAAAATAGAATGGGTTAATTAAAGATGATGTAACTTAATAAATCCCATAAAAAATTTAAAGATGAAATATTCCACCGGAGATACTCATAGGAGGTGTTTGTTTTACAATATAAGAAATTAATTCCGGTAATAATTTTCTCAAGCATAATATTTCAAGGAATAAGTTTTTATAAAAAATGTTATGATAGTCGTCCATGTTGGGAGATGGCTTCGAGGCCCTCTTCGTATTTATTATTTTTATTTTAGTCAAATAATGCTTTGATTATGCAACACTGAGAAATAAGACACTTATGTTTTATTGAGTTGTAAATGAAATTTTATTTTCTTAGATTTTTTTTTAATAATGTTTTTTAAAGTATGATATGATTTGATGTGATTTAGTTGATGTTGCATGAATAATGTATAATTGTTTTGTTGAAGTAACATCTTGATTGTGATATATCTTTAAAAGACATATTTTTTGGATTGAGGGTGTTACATATGGTATGACATGTATTGGTAAGAAATTACAAGTGTGCATGTTCCTTCTGTAATGACATGGAGACTCGGTGGCCTTATTAGGTTTATAACAGGATATGTTGGTTATATCTTGCCCATAACTGCGAGAAGCCCAATACAGTAGTGTTTTGAGGTAGTTTTAAGATACATACTCATGTGAGGTGAGAGGCTCTGCTGATGACCGGTGATGCTTGATATCAAGTGTATGATTACCGATAGTTATATGTTAAGGCTTTAATGAGCGTTGTGCTATTTAGGGTATTAAGAATGGGTATTAGTTGAGGTTTGTCTTTTCCCCTTGAGGTTAGATGTATTTATAAAGGTCTCTAGAACCTAGAGTTTGAATCACACTTAGTGGCACCAACGACTTCTCTCTTCTCTGGAGAAGTTATCAACTACCTATATCCGAGGAGTTAGTGGATACTCCTTCTTTCTTGACTTATACGCTTGGGTTTCCTCCGAGCGGGTCATCGTTTGGGTGGCGCACCTCCTGAGTGAGGGTGCCCTACTTTGGGACATCTATAAATATAACACTACAAAAGCAAAATGACCTACTCCTCTCTCCAAGAATTGATCTTGAGAGTATCCAATAAATATTGAGAGCTTTTAGTAGGAAATACTCATGAATCCCCCTCCCCCCTATCCAAGGAAAATGGTTGACTTCCAACCAAACTGTAAGACGAGGTATATAGTAGTTGAGTCTTCTCTTCCAAATGGTGGATTGGAGCGCTTAGTCCTATTTTCACAAACGGTAGAGATAAATGGTTAGTCTTCTTTCCACGAGAATCTTGGAGCAGTTAGTCTTCAAGCTTCTAAACAAACTTTATAAGCTTTTACCACACGCTGAGCTCACGAACCTTAAACCTTAGTTTTACACGGGCTAACCAATAACCTAGAAGATTTTAATATCGTCTTAATCTTGAACCTTATCCATGATTTTACCACAGATTAAGCTTTAACCTAATCTTAGTTTTTACACGAGTTTATCAAAAACCTAAAAAGATATTATCACAGACTGCTCTCAAACCTAAACAAGGGATTAATCACACAATCCTCAAACTAAAGCTTTTTACGGGTTTAGCTTCTAACTCACAAATAATTCCTAAATGGATAATATTAAACCAATGTGTTAACAAAATATTCTCTTGGTGAATTTTATATTTCTAACCTTCCAGAATTATAACTTATCCCCACTCACAAAATAACTTTCTCGCAGAAGCACTTCGGCTAAAATATTAGTGAGAGAAATTAAAAGAAAAGTTTAGAGAGAGAGAGAGAGAGTGTGTGTGTGTGAGAATTTTCTAAACACATTTTTGGATAATTTGAAATGAGGGAATGTACCTATATTTATAGGCTAAAGGTTGACTCAAAAAAGAATTTGAAGTAAATGCTTTTTATGACAATCTAATCGATTAGTACATGATTTGAATCGGTTAGATACTCAAAATATAACCGGTTCAAAATAGGAAGGAAGAGATATCTACCCGTTTCACTCATTAAAGTGTTGTCCCAATCGCTTGGGACTCAATTTTGAACTTAGCTAATCGATTAGAATAATGTACTAATCGATTAGAAAAGTTAAAACTTAGCCAAAGCAATTTTAATAACTCTCAATTCATCTGACACAACTTCAAGATATTTTCTTGATAAAAATTAGTTTGAAAATATGTTTTAGTATGTGTGTGCTTTAGCCATGTACTTTTACAAGAACGCCCATATGTTTTACAAAGTGTTCGCTCATACTAATTAAGATAAGGCTTTCTTGCACTTCAAGACTTTGTTAGATGCTTTCTTTTGTAGACACTTGCTTAAGTTTCCTTGAGATGAAGTTTTAGTTACATTTCATTTGATTGCCATCATCAGATAGTTAAGTCTATAAAAACCTAATACTTAGGTTTGCATATTTATCCACTTAAGTGCTTATGCTTTACTTGTTAGTAGACATTAGCTAGCACCATCAAAAGTTAATTTCCTTGTTAAAAGCATATCACATCCAAAATAAGGTTCCACATTCTCCCCTTTTTTATGATGACAAGACATCTCTCAGAGGAGGTGGCAAAAGAAAACAACACATATGCGTTTAGAGTAATTAAACCCACCTTGAGTTAAATAAAGTATACTCTATTTCCTATGAGAGTATACTTCTCCCCCTTTGTTGAAATAAAAAAGGAGGATAAAGATGCACTGCAAAAAATAAATATGCAACCATGGGAAATTAATACATATAGGGAAGGAAAACATTACTTCAAATTACAAAAGGAATATCATTTTATTTTAAAGATAAAATAATTAGAATTCAAAATACAAGAATGGAAATTACTAATTTGAAATTTGCGGAAAGCAGGAAATAATAAGAAATTTAAAACACATAAGTGAGATTATTATATGCCATAAGTATCATCATTCTCTTGAGATTATTTTATTTATTTCCTTCATATCCTTTGTTATGCTTTGGTTAATTTCCCAAACTTGTTTTATATTTGTGTCTTTCGTTTCTTCTATGTCTTCTTCTTCATTGATCCAGTTGTCCCTCAGTTCTTCATAATTAATATTGATCTTCATGTCTCTGAGACTGTTATAGTCAATTCTATTGTTGGATGAGATTAATTTTTCCCTTAGAGTATCAATGTTTAAGGTTCTAAAGATTCTTGTGATCATTGCTCCATATGAAAGATCTGTTGACAGTTTTTATTTTGAGTAAGTCATGTGGTAAAATATTCCATCTACCCAGTTTGTTGGAATGTTTTGTGTAAGAATCCAGAGAGTGATGATATCATATTTGATAATATGGTCGTTATTGATATTTCTTGGGAGTGAAATTCTTATTATAAGATAGTGAAGGATATAGACTTTTGGTAACAAAAGTGTTTATGGCTACATTATATTTTAAGTTTTTGAGTCTCAGGGGTCTCTCAGATCTGTAGGATGTTCCTAGGAAGGGTATTTCGAACATTCTCCCAAAGTGTTCTTTGTGGATTATAATTTTCACATATTTTAGTGATGATGTCAAGGTTTTTCTAAGGATATTCAGATTTGTGTAGAATTCTTGTACTAGATCTGGGTAGATTTTATCACATGCTTTTGTAAAGAATTCTCTTAATGAGGCTTGGCAATTGTGAGAATAAAGTTTATAACCTCTAATGAAGGTTTCGTCTATAAACCATGGTTCTATGATATTTTTCTCCAAGATCATCTTCTTGTCTTCTTCCTTTTTATTCATTACTGTAGCTATGATGATATATCTTCTTGGTGACATTATGGATTTTTGGCTTGAGGATGCCATGATGATACTTATAATAAGAAAAAGAACTCACACAAGAAAAAATGCAAGAAGGAATGAGATTCAAGAAATAACAAAGAGAGATATACCTATTTATAGCGTGCTAGTTGAAGATTTGATCGTGTATTCCTAGAAAGCATTTAATGTGGACTGTGTTGATTGAAAATCAAATCAAAATATTTTCTAGATTAGGTTTGCTAATCAATTGGCTAAGGGATCTAATCGATTAGATTTTCAGATTTGTCAGGATTGTGAGATCTTCATCAAATCTGGAATTTGATTTTCTTAAGGCGCACCTTTGGTTTGGATTTTATTTGAAAAACTTTGTCCCTAGCTTTTCTAGTCAGTTGTCATAACGTGCTAACTGATTGGGCTAGCGTAATCAAGCCTCCTTGGTGCATGTTGGGCCTTGTTCTAGATTTTCACCCCTATTTTATTAGGAGTTCTTGATAAATATTTCCTTAAAGGGAAAACACTAAATATACTATGGTGTATCCTCATTTACACATCTTTGAATGCGAGAGTTGGTAAAAGCCACAAAATGAACAAGTCTATTACAGACATGTCCATTCAACTGATCACTAAGGATCCTAAACTTTGAGATATTCTCAAAAAGATTTACTTTGATCATAACGATTGATATTTAACATTATCATTCATCTCCAGGTTAGAGACTTCATAAATATTATATACTTTAGAAGTATACTATTAATTTGCACATCTTTACTAATAATCGTCAAATCTCCAA